CCAAAGAGAGGATATGTTCAGAATACATTGGAGAACTGTTTAATCTTAATTTTAATCAGAAGCAATTATTATACTGGTTGGGCGCTTTCTGTGGGGTAAAAAAAAAAACACACCGCCTAATAAAATATTAAGTAGCATAAAAAACATATCAAAATTGTCTTTAGTGATTAATAACTTTCCATGTCCTATCATCCAGCTGCTTCAAAAATTGAACTTTTTCAATAACTTCATTTGTCATTCAAGTTTGTGTATGTTTTTAGTTTATGCTATCAAAAAGGTGTTTTCATGCTGTTACCTCCATTTCTTTTACCTAAACCAACTATGCTTCTATACTTTGATTTGATATGAATTTTATTTCAGTGTTTAAGAATATGTACATATTAAACCTGGTAAAAAAATGGACTATTTTTTTTCCCTTAATATAAAGGAAATATTTTCGAAACATCAATTAAAGGAAAAAAAATAGTTTAATGCATGACAATCCGGTTCATTGTCAATCTTGCAAATTTTAAAAGTTGTAGATAATATACATGAACCACATTAATTTAATGAATAACTTTCATGCTTTTGTTCATCATACTGCACGCCAATTAATTTGTTTGTGCTATCTGAAAGAAAGTCGTGATTTTGAAATTGAATTGTATGTATTGACATCTTTTCTGCTTGAACTTTTTTGTATTGGCACCAAAACGTGCTTTGTGGGTGTGAGTGTGGCAATGTTGCTGGATTCTCTGCCAAGCAGGTGGGATTTATAATAAGTCGGTGAAAAAAACTCTGTGTTCTTTTTATTCGTGAATTTTTAATTAAATGTTATTTCAATAATGCTTGACAGTTCTTTCCTTACTTTTTCACGGGGACAGTGAACATAGAATAACAGACTCTTCAGACTTTTTTTTTCTATCTTTTGAAGAAATGAATTTCAGAAAGCTTTTTTTCTACAAGGTGCTTTGTAACTTTTGATTCTTCAAGCGCAAATATCTGTACTATATAAGATTGTCAATTGAAATACCCTCTGAAGAATAAATGTATTTTCATTGAAGTAGTAAGCCCAGAGTTCAAAGCAGGAGCATAACTGTGCGTTTTCCTGCCTTCGAGATTGATCTCTACTTGAGCATGGCAAGGGAATAGAAAATTGTGAAATATAATTTATAATTTTGAAAAAATAATTTTTTCAAAGAGGTTTTTACTAGTCAGATACTTTAAAGCTACAAGTACATGTTACTTGAAGTAGCTATGTCTGACTAGTACCACATTTTGTATGCCAGTAATTGTTTTTTTTCTTAATTTTTTTTTTTTTTTGTGTAATGCGGAGGAGTGTAAGTTGATTTATACAAACTATCAAAGCACGTTGTTGAATAAAAATCAGTTTTAAAAGGTGTTTTTCTTTATTTAAAAAATGAGCTAGCATGGCATTTTATATGTTGTCATTTTTTCAATTTGTTTTTTTATTAGGTACTTTAAAAAAATTGGTTGTAAGCACTACACATAACTTGAAAATGTTTTTAAAGCTACTTTTTCACAAAAATTTTTGCGTTTTGAAAAAAAACTTAACTTGAGTTATTTGAAGCAGCTTTAAACATCAGCAAATAAATAGTGTTTACATTTCTGGAAAGATTAACGAAGGACTTGCAAGGAAATGATGGAAGAAGAGAAATTGGAGAACCATGTTTGAGGAAAATTGTTGTTTGAGCATTTTTTGAAAGGAACTGTGAGAAATTTTGAGCTAGTCTTTTCACAAAAAAAACTGGGAGTTTTCAGAAACTTTATTTTACACTTATGTAACGCACTTGCTACTCATTAATTATAATAAATGTATTTTTGAAAAAAATAATGAGCAATATGGCAAATGTCAGAGAATACGCATTTAGCCTTATCCTAACTAAAAGTTAAAAGAGAAAAAATTGGGACCGTTTTTAAAGAAAAAACTTGTTTTTTGTAATTTTGTAAAATGTGCACATATTGCTCAGCAATATTATGCAAAACTTAACTAAAATGTTTTTTAAAAAATGTGCATCTCCTTCAGAACTCATAATGACAACAAAATTTTATATGAAGTCAATCTTTCAATCTTTAATTTAATAGTGTAGGATGGGCGGGCGGAAAAATTCAAACACATATTGTATTTCGAAAAATTTAGAAGTTAACATTGAAAATCGGACCTACACCACCTTTATAAGTAGTATTTTACTTTATTTTGCAAAAAATTTAAGAAAAAATTTGGAGCAGTTGTTTTGAAAACCTTTTGAAATTGCTCCGGGGGTGCATGTAACAGTATTCTCAATTAATTTTTCATCCATTGACTGGTGCCAGATAGCCACGAGTTTCTTCCGTTTGGAAAAATATCATTTGGTCAAGGCGCTATTTGTGTCAACCAGACGGACGGACAGTAAGGTCGTTTTTCCGCAGTTTACAAACTTTCCTATACTACGTAAATGTCTATGTTAATTACTATGTTATACAGTAAGTACGTTATACGGAAATTGAAAAATGAAAGAAAAAGAACGATATTTCTTCACCCTATTTGTGATTTTCCGTTTCCTGCTTTTTTGTGGTGGTGCAGTGGCACTACCACAAACCGCCACGAGTAGTTTCGTGGTAATTTTGCCAAAATAAATAGGCAACTTAAAAAATTAAAAAATTTGTCTCCAAAAATCGCTCCAAATTTTTTTATTATTTTAAATTTTCTCCATCGTACATGGATTAAGTGACGGCAAAAGTACAGTGCTAAGTCCATTTTTTGATATCGTTTGGTTTTTTTCGAAAATAGCAAAAGGGAACATGCAAAAACTACAAATTGAAAGATGGAGATTTTTCCTCAGATAAAGTACGTTTAAAAAAACAACCTTTAAAAGATAACGTACAGGTTTTTCTTAAAACGATTCGTACGTAATTTGCGCTGCTTGAAATTAAGGAAAAAAAAAAGATTTCTCAAAAGGCTGCCTCAAAATTATTTTGTTCCGCGACAGAAGTGAAAAAGTTATCGCGTATAAAAGAATAGCGCAAGTCTATTTTTCGTCTGAACTCTTTTTCGAAAATCCGCGAAAGCTTAACATTTGTGAAAACTTACAAAATGGACGATAAAGATTTTTTGTCTAACACAAAATGTTCTAAAAAATAAGCTCATCAAAGGTCATGTAGCGTTTGTTTAAAAAAGGAATACGTTTTCGCCAAAATTGGTTTGTTTTAAATTTGATGAAACTATATAAAAGTTGTCCCACCAACTACGGGCAACGAATGGGGCGAGAGGAGAGGAAATTCCCTTGCTGGAGATCAGAAATTGATCCGAAGGATTTGAAAAATAATTATATATAATCTTCAATTTATTACTTACCATTAAAATGGCGCAGTTTGTAATTTTTTTACCCTATTCTACAATGGTATCTCTCAAATGTGATTTCTTTCTTTCAAATGCCAATCCCGAAAACTTAATTGAAATGTTCGCAACTATGCTCCAATGGATATTTAACAAGTTCATTGGTTGAAACGTCCGCCGTGTGTTGGTGGCTATTAGATAAACCAATTTTATTACCCAGTCACCTTACAAAATAGTTTAGAAATGATTCAACACCTATTTGAGGATGATGCATATTTTTGTCCGTGATTTGCGAGGCGTATAGAACATTAACATTTTTCACTGAAAAAAAGTTCAACTTATCTATGAACTCATATCAGCTTTTTCACTAGAAATTGCGTTCCATTTATAGTGCTTTTCAAATTTTAAATGGAGTAATAAAGCAATACAGTAGGAAACGGTCAATTATCCATTTTTTTGAAATAAAATTTAGGTTCGCTTTGGTAAAACATTTTGAAAAGTTGAAAGAAACTAGTGTTTCCAAAACTTAAAGAAGATTTATTTTTAGAGGTTTTGACTACGGACACTAATTTATACAAATTTTGTTGAAAAAAAAAAACACCTGAATTGTACTATTTATAAACCTTCAAGCTTATTTTGCCTGGCACTCGTGTGAGGCGGGTTGTCAATATTCGAGGTCGCTTCAATAGTTCTGTAGAAAATCCAAGGTATGGTGCAGTTTGAATTTGAAAAAGGAAATTTTTACGCAGGTAAGCAGCACTTTATAAATAAACGCTTCCGAGGTTTAAGAAAGCAAATTAAGGGCCTTATGGGTATTTTTCGCGCAAAGGAAACAGTCCCTTTTTAAAGATTTCAAACTGTTTTAAATCGCTCACTTAACATAATTTTCATCACAGAGTGCAATTACATTAGTCAATTTATACCACGAATACATTAAGAATTTTACCAAAATCGTGGTGAATATCTTGAGAGAATCTATTATGTTTTTTTGAAGAGAAGGGATAAGTTCGGTTGCTGGATCCAGCCACTGCTACGATGCCACGCGCTTTGGTTGCCGCGAAAACAGTGCTTTCTGAAAGAACGCGTACGCTGGTTGTACCTGATGTTTTCGTTGATGTTATAGGTTTCAGATTATTTCGTGTTGTTAATCACACGTATTATTTTAAATGGTAGTTTCTTTTACTTTCCTTCATTGGGTTTTAGATTGTGATAAATTAATTAATTACAAAATGTTAAATATATTTTTCTTTTTTCAAAAGGAAAAAAATCACCAACATTTGGAGAGAAAAATTACATTAAAAGCATTGATTTCAATCTCCAAGATATTTGGTTGTTGAAAAATCATTTTTTTCTAAAAACGGTAGATTTGATAGAATTGTGAGAAACTGTTAAAAAGATAAATATGAATAAGATATGAATAAAGATAAGAAGAGAAGGAGAAGAAGGGAAGAAGAAAGAAGAAGGGAAGAAGGAGAAGAAGGAGAAGAAGAAGAAAGAAGAAGAAGAAGGAGGAGAAGAAGAAGAAGAAGAAGAAAGAAGGAGAAGGAGGAGAAGAAGGAGAAGACAAAACAGGTTTAAGTATGGGAAAGGAAGAGAGTGGGGGTTTAACATGCGAGAGTTCTCCAACGGGTATGCTGGTCGTTATCTATTGAGAGGCTTTACCCGAATGACAAACTTCAAAATAGTGAAGAAACAACGCGACGGCGGCGGCGGCGGCGCGCGACTCGGACACGGGCTTTTGTGCGGAGAGCGTGAGACCACCGTGAGATGGCGTGGGGGAGGCGGCTAGCACAGCAGCGTCTCGAATCAGACCTCGCGAATCGGATGCAATTACTCTTTTCGGAGGTTCATTCCGCATGACTGCCGTCTTTTCTCTGACTCGGCGCGCCGCGGTGAGATGAAGTGAAGAACCAGTTGAGCAAGACTTCGAAAGCGTTACAAGTGCGCTCAGTGGAATCGCGGCACGTCGCATGACCTCTTCCATTAACAGCGATATCGTATTAGGTCTTCCACTAGGAGCGGAGAGCATTGGGGCAACGGGGAGTTCAGTTGCACGGCGGAGCGATATAGCAACTGACAGCACTATCGGTCTTCTTTCGCATCACTTTTGTGAATCGAGATTGCAGCCGTGCAAAAACTTCCTAACGTTTGATGTTCGAGCGTGACGAAGGTTGGCAGATCGAGAGATCGATTCCAGTCAGGTTCCTGAATTCGCTTGTTGTATTGAAGATGGTGGCCAGACTTGGCAAACACGCAGGAGGACAGGAGGGGACCCACTTGGAAGGTGAGTCAAAACGTTTCCAAAAAACAACTTTTCTAGCAACAGAGATAACGAAAGGATGTGCTTTTGCCAAAACAAGAATCGAGTTTTATTCTCAGTCTATGAGGAAATTAACGGTCGTTTTCACCAAAAATTTCTTTCTCTCTTCAAAGGCTTTTTCCTAAATCTTTTAATTTTTTTGGCTGATGTGATTGGCATGACTGGTGCAGTAGATATGCCTGTTAAAGAACAAACTTTTCTTGAATATGGTCAGTTACGTTAGATTAAATAAAAAAATATCTAAAACCTGCTTTCTAACCTAACTTTAATGACTATATTTGGTTACGTTTATAAAGTTCTTTTTAAAAATGTATTTTCTTGATGAATGTCAATGTAATACATTTCTAAATTACATTTTTTTCACTTTCGGCCATTTACGTTACGAAATTTTATCACCCATTAACAATCTTAGTTTTACTTAAAAGTTGAAATTTTAAGTTAGTGTGCCAAAAAAGTCAGTTTCTTCATCCTTCAGAATTTATTTACCTCTGTCATTGTGTTTCTGTAAAAAACATATATGCTCTTGATAACATAAATTTTCAGGTCCAGAAATGTTGAATCTTCTAGAAGCATCCACTTAAATACATGAACTGCTGAAAGTATTAAACAATACTGTCAACATAGCTTAAGAATCAAGATAGCCATCTAAGAATCAATGAAGATCCTAGTGATATATTTTTAAAAAGGCAAAAATGTCTATTTCTGTTGAATGACTGTTAGGATTTCTTCATATCATCCATAAATTAAACTTGTCTTTCGATTAATAATTAATTTATCCCCTTAATAAATACAGATTACAACCCCACCAGAAAATAAGATTCCATTCTCACACAACCAGCCAAGAAAAGCCATTAACCACGTTTATGGTGCATCTACCAACATATTATCGCGTCCTATATTATTTCAGTAGTATACACATTTTTTGCGACAACCTTTATAAATGTGGTCTTTAAAGAGAGAAAATTTTAGGGACGTGAAAAAATTGCACTTTGACTTGGAAAATTTGAAGGATTTGTTGAATATGAAGGTCTCAAAGAAACGTTTCCCATACCGTAATCTACAGAATGAGATATTATTAGACATTTTATTACATTTGTTCTCGACCGGCGCTTGTCGATACTGTCCAATACATGGAGACCGTCTTTGTGACGTCACGCTTAGAAGGCTTAGATTCCTCCATCTTATGGTAACACTTTCTGTGTACACCGTGGTTTTCGCCAACTGGGGAGTTTTATGTACATAATCATTAATTCAAGATTTGCTCTCGCAGCAACTACTAGAACTATTAAAAAGATAAAATAGTTTCTTATGCGTGTAGTGCAACCATTCATTTACCGTTTTGCCGTGGTCTACAAGCGCTTTCTATCTAATTGTGGAGGGAACAATGATGGAAACGGATCACATGCTCTCGAGTTTCAGTTTCACAATACCCTTAGAAAAAATACTATCTCTGCCTTCCTTGGCAGGATTTCCGCATAACAAACGAATTGAAGTTTTGACATTCTTGTTTCTGTGACATGTTTCTGACAATCTACATTACTCATACACTTGGTATGATACCACACGACACATATCTACTCAAACCTATAGGTTGATATTATTCTTATTGAAAATCTATTTGTCTGTATTTATCGCTCACCACTCAAATTTCAAAATCTGCTTATTTAAGTCAATACACGTTTATGGACAACACAGTTCGAGAAGGAAAATTATTTTTCTGAAAACGTGAATTAAACATGAAATTTAATGATTAAAAAATTAACAAATGGTATTTAATACTCACAGGTGAAAATATTAATTTTATTATTTTTGGGCACAGAATTGCTTTTCTTGAGTTACGCAAGAACATGCGAGAGATCTCGCACGGGTACGATAGTTTATTTTATTTATTTTCCGAATTTGTGTTGTAATAATCTTTGCTATCCTGTGCCTGTAAGAATTTCGTATCTACTAGATTTATTAATAATTAATTAAGTGTAAAAACTTGGTGGCAGAATACACTAACTTAACATTACAGAACTTAACAAATTTACAAAATCTACAAACTTTAGAAATTTACGTGAACATTTCACCGTGCAATCTTTGATAGAACTCTACTTCACCACACTTCACTGCGCCGCACTGCGAAACAGCGAGCTGTTGTCTTTCTTACACACTGGTTTCTCTCAGTTTCACAATGCCACTGCAATGCACATAATTAATAATAATAATAATAATAATAGTAATAATAATAATAATAATAATAGTAACAATAACAATAACAACAATAATAATACTAAATTACATAGAAGACAATTAATTACACTGCATTTTATTAAATATATTTATAACACACATGTCAACATTCAAGAAACTAATTTATTTTAAAATTTGCTTAGCTTTGAGGAAAGAGATCGAAGATTGTCACAGGCAAACCGTTCCAGTCTCTAATAGTTCGATTCACAAATTAATATTTCCCAACGTCCGTTTTCTGAATTCTTTTCTGAATTTTGTGCATGTGATCCGCTCTGCCAAAATATGTGGTTTCCCTAATCGACTTTGAATTTCTTTCCCACTCTCCGAAGGCCTGTGTACGCTTTATACATTGCATTGAGACGTGACTTTAATCTCCTCCTTTCGAGCGACTCCATACCCCTTTATTCTTGGTACCCCTGAAAGTAAATTTTGATGCTCTACGCTGGACTTTTCTAGTTTCCTTTGTTGCCAAAATTCTGCATGGGTCCCAACATACGCGCCATATTTAATAATATAGGTCGCACTAATGACATATATGAAAGTTCTTTCGCTCTCACTGTACTCTTTTTCAGTATCCGCATAACCAAATGTAAATATTTCCAGGCTTTCCCTACAACGAAATTAACTTGATTTTTCAAGCTCAATTTACTGTCTAGCTGTATTCCTAAGTTTTTTGCAAGACGTGACTCGAGGTATAACATTATTTGTTCAGTTTGTACGCAGATTCATTGTAACTTCGACCTCTACCAAACGTGATGGACTTGCTCTTTGAAACTGTTTATTTTCCATGCCGTTTGTTTCTGCCCAGAATGTAATTTGTCTAAGTCTCGCTGCAAAAATATCCTCGACCTTCTCCGGAGTTGATAATCCTATAGATTACGCAGTTCACATCTGCAAAAAGTCGTAATTTAAAGCTAATTAGTCGGCAATTCATTCACGAAGACCAGAAACATTAATGGTTCCGATTACACTGTGGAATTCCTGACGTGACGTTTCTCGAGGTTGATAAATAAACTACCGATTCGAAACTTTCTGTTTCCTGTTCCGGAGTAGTTCGTTTATTCACGCTACACTCTAGCCTCTATCCCGAATCTATTAATTTCTTTATAAGACGATCGTGTGGAACAACATCAAAAGCTTTGAAAAAATATCTTACTATCGCGTTGACCCTTTTCCCTTCATCAACTACGTCGGCTACGTCCTGTGAAGTGAGACTAGCTGACTCAGAAACCATTTCTGAAACCAAACTGACTCCGATAAACATTCCTTCCTATTCAAACATTCCTTTTTGTGGTATCGATGTCGGTTACATGTGTTGAATTCTTTTTTATTAATATAGATGACAGGTAGCGAACGGAAAAGAAAACCAACTCACATCAAATTGTTTCCTGAATTCGATGTAGCTAAGTAGAGTTTGAAGTCGAAAATCCTGCCACCTTTGGGTCCCGACCCCCAGGATCCCCCGATCAGAGAAGCTGTAGTTATCAGTTGATGCCATGAACTACCGCACCTGCCCGGTTGAGTATGATACAGTGCATCAGTCTCAGATCTAGTTTTTCATTATTAATATTTCAAACAATAGGTAACTGCTCCACACGCAATTAGGATACAAGAACGGCGACAAAGGGCTAGAGGAATTTCAAGATGAGTGCTGGCGCTCGCCCCTCAACTTCGGTGGATTGAGAGCGGAAGGGCGCAGAGTGCTCAACTTACGAGCCGAGACATTCATTTTCTGACACAATGGCGGATCCAGAGGGGGCGCTGGGGCCATACCTCCTTAATCGAATTCATTTTTCGTTTCGGGGTCATTTTTATATGATTCATTTGTGAGGGGCGAATTTTGATGACCTAATCAACGCAAAAAAGATAAAATAAAATGCTCTTAAAATGATTTTAAAATGCTCTAAAAACAAAGAAAATGACGTCAAAAATGTGATCAAATCCTGTTCGGGTGAACAACGCATGCTGTTAGATATGTTACTGATGTAATCGAAACTTTTTCTATTCATTCAAGTGAACTCGGCTTTCAAACTTCCTGTTTTGACTGTTCCTTACGAGGAAACCTTTGTCTTT